TAAATGTGCTGATAGCACAGATCCATCTTATTGACCTCAGCAGCCTTTTAAAAGATTTTGGGCTTTGTTTCCAACAGTGTTATTTTAAATTTTAGTCAAAGCAATAGGAAATTGCATTGTACCCTGCCAGCTCCAAGCAGGACTGGGAATCTAAACTCACTCAAACCCCAAATCTTTTAGAAGATGCCCTTCCTTCTCACCCTGGGAATGAGCTGCACATTCCCTTTCAAACTGTCAGGGATTTCCTAAAGACATAAAGCCCCACTTCCAGCGTTTTGCTCTGGTTTGGGAGTGCAGAAGGGCAATTCTCCATCCAGCAGCTCCAGACTGCACTGACTCAGCAAAATGGCCCACTCACCAGCTTTGGCCCACTCGTGGCACTTCCAGAGGAGGAAGAAAGTGCAACTGCACAATTCCAGCCAATAAAGAAGGAAGAATGGGACAGACAAAACATCCTGGGGAGATCCAGGCGTTTAGATTGGACTGTGGAGAGTTTGGGCTCTTGTCCATTGGATGTGTGTCCCCAGCTGCAAGTGTTCACCTTGTTATGGTTTCTGCTATCGTTCCTTCATTCTTGCTAGCTAACGAGCTTCTCCCACAACCTCAAGTTTCGGCAAGGGCACAGTGACCTTGCCGCTTTTATCCTCGTCTCCTTCTTGCTTCCAGCATGATCTCTGTTAGCTAGCTAACTATCTACAAAATCCTCTAAATTTCTCCTGTTTGTATCTCAGGCAGATTAATCTGGCCGTGGCCCTTATCCAGGAGCCAGCTTGTTACAAAGCTCTCAACACTCCCTCTGATCATCTTGGTGAGCTCCACTGAATTCTCCAACAGATCTGTGACCTGTGCTGGGGACCCCAGAGTTGGATGTAGTACTGCAGGTGGGACCTCCTTGTAGCTATGATATTTTATTAGAAATCCTTTCCTAGGAGTTTTTTCCCTCCTGAGGAGCTGGGAGCGTCAGGAAAGAAATGTAAACAATAACTGTCTGCTGCTGTGGAATGCAACAGGTGCATCTTCCATTGGTCCATGTGGATTGTTTTCAATTGATGACCAGTCACAGCCACCTGTGCCAAGCCTGTGAGCAGTCACAAGATTTTCGTTATGCATTCTATTCTATTCTTGTTCTTTGTAGCCTTCTGATCATCTTTTCTCTCTGTTCTTTTAGTATAGTTTTCATGTAGTATTTTAATATAATATATAAGATAATAAATCAGCCTTCTGAGAAAATGGAGTCAAGCCTCGTGTCTCCACACATGGGGTGTTCGCCTCAAAAACTGGTGATGTCCGGATGTGTGGAATGGATGGTCACCCCAGAAGTGACCACGGAGTCCAGCCTGGAGCTGAAGAACCAAGACTCTGAAGATGGGCAGAGTTCACAGCCAAGGCAAGAAGAACCTTTTGGAGTTTCCCAGACATCGTGTCCAGAAACATCAGAGCAGCAGAGCTGCACAGCTGATCCAAGGACACTGCCTCAAGGTACTGAGAAAAACAGGGCCAGGAGACAAGCTCCTTTCAAAAGGCCTTTATTAAGAACAGCTCTTGGGTGGGGAACCCGAGGGGTCGCGCACACCGCCACTGCTCCCACAGGACGACGCTGAGGAGGAGGAGTGCAGCTTTGTCTCTCGGCAGAGCTGGGGCTTCCATCCTCACGAAAGTCCTCAGGAAAACAATGTTGGCTCATAGTCTAGGGCTGTCATCCCGACTGAGTATTCTTGAAGTCATGGTGACAGGACGGAATCTGGCTCTGTAAATGGTGGGTGATTCCGGGTAGTGCAGCCAGTTTAAAACTATAGTTTATGTGCTGGTTTGCTGTTTTTTGAGAGAGTTCATACAATACCAACAGCTCCTCATTAAAATTCAGTCCGGGTGCAAGTCCCTCTGGGAGCAGGAAAAGTGGTTCCCGGCAGAAAGGGATACAAGCACAGGGCTACAAATACAGGGTAACACAGTAACACTTAACAATGGCAAACAAAGTACATTCAACAACAGACTAACACTCCCAGTTAAGGTCCTATTAACTTTGTCAACTTTATTAACATTAACTACCAATTGCCACCCTGGAAAAAGAACTCCCATCCCCAATGTTTCACTTCTTACAGTACTGTTACTTTTTCCCTTCCTGAAGATCCTGCCCTTCGCAGAATGTGGGAGGAAAGTTGGCAAAATGTACCTTCGGAAGCTCAGGTTCGGTTATCTGTGTCAGATGAGAAAATTATTAAGCTCTGGCGCAGATGGGGACGCGAGGATGGAATTATTTTGTGGAAGAGATTATTATGAGTTTTTCAGATGGGCAAAATTACATAGATTTTTTACAGTTGTGGTATACTCCCTCGATTTAGATCTTTGGGATTTCATGGAGTCTGTTTTTAAGTGGACAAGTGACCAGAGTGTTAAACTCCCAACAATGTATGCAGTGTTCCGAGCCCTCTTCCGTGTTTTGAAACGAAGAGAGGCTGTGGGGGAGATCGTGGCTCGGGGGCGCGGCCGCGCCCCGTTTCCACCAGGCCCGGCAGGAGAGGAACCTCTCGAAGAAGACGAACTGCTAGTTCCCAGCCCCCCGCATCGCCCACGGCTGAGGAAGAGTTTTCCTGTGCTCCCTTGGAGCATGCGCAGACGGATCTGCCTTTCCCCTCCGCTCTTTCTCTTGGGGGGGGGGATGGGGAGCCGGCCCCGCCGCCCTCTGGGCCGACCCCGTCCACTTCGCCGCAGCATTCTCCGCTCCGCCCACTCCGGGAAGGCGCGGATCCGACTCCACCGCCACCCGGGCCGGCCCCGCCGTCTCTGGCAGAGTTTGCCCTTGTCCCGACCGCGGCAGCACCGCCTCCCGTGGATCCGCCCGTGTTGCGAGGCAACGTGATTGACTGCAGCGGCGATGAACAAGAGCCTGCCTCAGAGAGGGGCCGTGTCTCCGCGGCTGTCTGCCCGCCTGAGGATGCCCTGGGGGCCGACCCTGCAGCCGTGTCGCCCCCCCCGCCTGTCCCGCTGCTCCCTGCCAACACGGCTGCAGTGCAAGAGCATGCCGAGAATGGTGCTGAGCCGGTCCCAGCGCCCGTGCCGCCCGCACCGCCCACCCCAGCTGTCCCGACGGCTTCTGGAGCTCCTTCCTTTGCATCAGACCCTGCGGACAGCCTGTTCTTCCGTGGAGGGGACATGGCTCACCAGCTGACTGCGGCTGCAGTTCGGCTGCCTGTTTTCAAACTCATCGTGTTTTTCGGGTCATTTCGCGTGTGGTCGGGGGCTTCTCCCTGGGGGTTGGAGTGCCTGCCGTCCCCCGTGCGCCGCAGCGGCGTGGGCGAGTTGGCTCCTGGAAATTCTGCCTCTGGTCCCCAGCCCAGAAGGAATGGGGGTGGTGTCGAGGGGCAGAAAGCTGGAGCAGTGGCGTTTGCCTTGCAGGAGCAAGAGAAACAGTGCAAAGCAAGCATTGCTCGCTTGCTCTGGGGACAAGAACCCCCCAGATCTGGGATGAAAATTCCTGAGAAAGCTTCTCTTCCCCAGCTGCCGGTGTGCACCGGTGCTTCTAGGGGGAGGAAGCATTTGGTCACTTCTGCTCTGAAGACACTGGCAGCATGGTTCTGCCAGGTTGTGAGCACACAGGGCCCGCCTCACGGGCTGGTTCTGGGCCGTTTGGCTCATTTCCCTGGGCCGGAGCCACCACCCCGTCCCATGTTGGGTTTGGGAGCTTTCAGCTCCCTGCCCCGACCTGGGCCACTGTTCTGTGGGCCAGGTCTGGGGTCCCTGGTCTGCCCACCAGGAGCAGGGCCACCGAAGGGTCCTAAAACTGGCCCTCTGCTGCTTCTGCTCTTCTTAAGAAAGAAAAGTGGAAAGAGCTAGCAGCTCAAAAGCATTGAAAAGCCAAAAATGTGCCTCAGCTCAAGTGGTTCAATAAGGGCTGGGGCCAGGGCATTCCAGAAATTTTCTCTGAATTGTTTGATGATTGTCAATGGATTTTTGATGATTCTTGATGATTTTCTCTAGCAGTTCTTTGTTTCAGAATTCTGAAAGTCTGTTTTAGGACCAAAAGGGACTTCCAGAGATGTCAAAGAGGAACATCTTCAGTCCATGGACTCTGTCCTGAAACTCAGCTGTTTGGACTTGAAACAATGAACTTTCTTTGTATGAGTTTTTTTGCATTTTCTTATATTTTAAGATTGTTTTAGTGATATGATAGAATTTGATGTTCTACAGGTGAAGAATTTCCCTGAATGTTCTACAGGTGAAGAATTTCCCTGACCATTCCACATCAGCAGTTGATTGAGGTTTTGATTGGCAACAGACGAACCTCAAGAAATGTTTGTTCTCTCTTCTGCAAGGTCTCAGTAGATAAAATTACATTCTTTTTCTGTTTAATTTAATGAATTTAAAAGGGTGAAATGTAGCTAAGATATTTTATTAAAAATCCTTTCCTAGGATTTTTTCCCTCCTGAGGAGCTGAGGGCCTCAGGAAAGAAATGTAAACAATAACTATCTGCTGCTGTGGAATGCAACAGGTGCATCTTCCATTGGTCCATGTGGATTGTTTTCAATTGATGACCAATCACAGCCACCTGTGCCAAGGCTGTGAGCAGTCCCAAGATATTCGTTATGCATTCTATTCTATTCTTGTTCTTTGTAGCCTTCTGATCATCTTTTCTCTCTGTTCTTTTAGTATTGTTTTCATGTAGTATTTTAATATATAAGATAATAAATCAGCCTTCTGAGAAAATGGAGTCAAGCCTCGTGTCTCCACACATGGGGTGTTCGCCTCAACACCTTCTGAAAGTGGAGCATTCCCTTGATCTGCTGGCCACAAATCTTTGGATGCAGCCCAGGACATGTTTGGTTTTCACAGCTGCAGGCTCACATTACTGGATTATGTCCAGCCTCTCACCCACCAGTACCCTCAAGTCTCTCTTGGCAGGGCTGCTCTCAATCCCCAGCCTATGTTGATATTGGGTGTTAAACAGGGACAGAGAAAAACAATTTCTCATCATGGCATACAGTAGCATTCAACATGAACTTTACCTTTCAGAGCTTGGGTCAGCTTTGTTGGCATCAGATGCCAAAACCTTAAATTCACTGAATCTGATCTTTTCCGCTCGGTTCTTAGCCATGTATGAGTGACAGATATAAAACTTCCCATTGTCCTTGTGCTTGGGGTGGAAAGCCATCCCCAGGAATGCTCCAGCCCCTTTTATGCCCCAGCCACAGGGTAGCCAGCACTATGCTCTGAATGTCCAGGAATGGCAAATCCAGCTGGCTGCCATTGGGTAGGGAAACCCAGACGAGGCCCAGCTGCTCGGCTACAAAGGCGCAGTGGGTTTGGTCAGCAGATTGGGCCATCAGCACTAGGTTTCTCAGGCCACTGGCAACCTCAGCCAGGCACAGCAGGACACAGCCTGCACGTTCCTCCAGCACTGAGCCTAGGCTGCGGCTCAGGGCCAAGTTCTGCAGCACCTGGGGGAAGCAGTAATTCTCATCCTGGAGCTGCAGGAGGGGGCAGAAATGGGTCCTGTTCATCTCGCAGCACTCCTGGATGTGTTTGTCACTGGTCAGCAGGTGGATGGCAGAGAAGCAGTGGAGGTGAAACTCAGAGAAGTAGTCAATACAAAGTCCTGTAAGACTTCTCAGAGGGGTCTGTGGGTTTTCTGCATCGTAGAGATGTGCAGCATACAGAGAATATTCCTAGAAAGTAAGGGAAACTAAAGATGTGGCTGTGGACACTCATCCAGGAGAAGCCGAGACACCTCAAGGGGAGCAAAGTGGTTAATAAAATGAAAAATTAGCATTGCAGACAACTTAAACAGTCACCTATGAAGTGCAGCAGTAGAAAGTCAGAGAATATGGCCAAAATGGACTTTGACATCAGTAGTAGTTTCCTTTATCAAAGCATATTCACCTTCCCAACAGAAGTACAAGTGTGGAGGCTGTGGATTTTACACTCAGTAAGGTGGGACTGAGCAGTCCAAGGGGGAAGTGATCAGAGCAGGGAAAAAATCTGACAGAGCTCTGGAACTATCACAACTGACATTGAGAACATGGATAAGACTCACTTTCCCACAGAAGAAAAATGACGGAGTATCAGGTGAAGGCAATAGGAGCCAGGTTAAAAAAAGCAAGTGAAATGCTGCCAGAAGAAGCTGTAGCTGCTAAAGATGTACATTGATTAAATATACAGGCTAAATAAATCTGATACTTGCATAGTATTACTGAAGCAGACTGTAGGTGAGATTTAAAACTGATTCAAATAAGTAAATACCATCTCATGCAATTCCTGTAGATATCATTGACTCTGTCTCTGATCATCAGGAAAAAAAATGCAGGCAACATTTTCATGTGTTACAGATCTAAAATTATGTTCCCTCAAATAGCTTTAAGTCTTTAGCTGTGTAAAATGTAGGATAAATTCTGAAAATCAAGCATTGTGTTTGAATTTGTACCTAAATTTAAACTCATCTTGTGAACATTCTGGGCCAAAACTTCTGTAAAATGTTTCCATTAAGATTCCACCTCTATTTTAATCAGCACAAAGTTGCAGAAGTTAAAGCAGAAGAGGCTGCATTCTACAGAAATATTATTTTACTGGTTTCGTGCTAGCAGCCCAAAAACCATCTATCCAGAACTTTTATTTGACAGAGATGGAAGAGGGTAAGTACATGCACAGTCCAGGAATGTAATGACTACATTAGTAACTTTTCTGCCTCATTAAACAAGTTAGCTTCTTTAAACAGAATTTTAAAATCTGTGCAGTTATACAAGCATAGACTTTTTTTTTTTTTTTTTTTGGTGCAAGTAGCAGCCTTTCCAGTATATCTAATATGAAGACTATAGACCCTGATTCCAAACTTCACAAACAAGTTGTTCTCTTTGCTCACAGCAACACCCAAGGGCTTTTGGCCAGAACAGGTATCACTTGTAAGGAGTAAAGCCCTTGCAGCTTTTGGATGGTGTAGGAGGTTCCTCACTTTTCATTGCTGCCATTTGGCTACCAGAAAGAAGCACAGAATGACCTGGTTTCTGTTGTTTCCACGTCACATTTGTAAGGAAGCGCTCCCTCTTCCCAAATCTAAACTCTCCAGCCTTGCAAAGGGGAGCCAAGTCCCCCAAGCGTGTCCTTGCAGCTGTTAGAACCACACCACACCATTCCTTGTTGCAGGGTGGTAGAAAGGCTGCAATCTTCTTTGAAACATCTCCTTCAGAAGCCGCTCAGAGTAAGGCCACAAGAGCAGCCATTTCAAGTCCATGCACACACACATGCCACAGATAGCTCAGCAGAGGAAAGACAGGAAGGGTCTTTGCATGATATATTCCAGCAAGGGTTTATTGCATCCACCATGCCAAAGGGACCAGAGTCGAAAGATCAAACCATCTGGTCTGCATGACTTAAGAATGGGATCAGTGACCAGTGACCTGAGGGCACAGGGGTGGGCAAAGGGCAGCAACTTGTAGGGGGGATGAGGGTGGGCAGCGTCAACTGGCCAATGGCGGAGGCAGTCTAGTGTAGATTGGCACTAGTGTTGCAGAGCACCATGGGCTGAGTCCCCTCTAGCAGCATAAGTGGAGAAAACTCTGTGATATATTCTTCCAAGGCAAGGCCCTGGGGATTTCCCTGAGGGAGAGGAGTCAGAGGATTCCACAACTCCCCTGTTTTTCTTACTATGAAGATGTCCCCATTGGACCTCTGCAGACACTTAACTAAACAGGTTTATTAAGGGGTTATTAAGGTTAATTAAAGGTTTATTAAACCTTGGCCAAAATACAACAAAAGGACTGTATAAAGAAAAATTTACAGTGCTGGGAACTGCCCTCGTGATACCACGTGGCCAGTTCATCTTCAAGATGGATGCTCGGTCTTTTATACCCCTGGGGGTTGCATCAGCCAGCCCTGGCTCCTCCCAAAGTCTGTCAGTCAGCTCTTCTTTGCCATTTATCGGTGGAGTTTGCTTTCTTGTAACTTGACTGGAGATCAGGTGTTGCCATGCTGCACCCCCTTAGCAAAAAGCTTTTGAATTCCCAACTGCCCCATGCAAGGGGCATGTCTGCACACTTTCTTTTTACCTGTCCTAGACCACCCCGGCTGTCTGATGGTAACAATACAGGGCGGAAAGAGGGAACCATGGGGAGAACAGAGGACACCTAAACTACAATAACATAACTATACGTCACTAAAGCTTTTCTTAATATTCACACAATAGTTATCCCTTAACTGCGAGAGCCAATCATCTCATTATCCATCCATAACATATCCTTATAAAAAGGAGGCACAGTTGTGCTGTTAGATTATAATAGAATTTTGAAAATTGAAAGGATTCTTAACAACTCACAAGAAATAGCTATAAAAGAAGCTATGGGGTTTTTTTTTTAAGACTTGTGTATATTTGAGCAATTGAACATTGGTATATATCTTTACATGAAATTCACACATATAGAACACGGAGTCTTATACACTTCTGAAGTAGTGGAGGGACACAGTCTTTTTTCTTCTTCCACACCACCTGAGCTTGGTTTTTTTGCTGTCTCAGAGGTTCAGGAGAAGGGTCTTTGGATGCTGTATTTGGCTGTTTGATGTACCACTTGATGCTTACACCTGTAGATACTGAAGCATACGCTGTCTCGGAGGTTATTGATGGAGAGGGGTTATTGATATCTAAAATGGGAGTGTTTTGATCAGGGTCACTCTCGCTTCCAGCGTGGGAACCGGGAGTGACCAGAGAGGAGTGGGGGCAGGGTGCCAGCACGGGAAAAGGACCCAGCCTGGCCGCGGCAGCCGCAGGACCCACAGCATCTGAGATGGACAGCACGGGAGCCGAGCCAGGCACGGGCAGAGTGGAGCTCGGCTCTGGAGGGACAAGAGAATTGGGTGCAGACCAGAGGCAAGGAGTATTGTATTGCAGTAAATAGTTTATTTAGTTGTTGTTTTGCACTGGGTCATTTGAGATTTGCACTGAGTAGTCTTTATATTGCACTGAATAGTTTATGTTACATCATGTGGTTTGTTATTCGCCTCTCCCAACATGCGGTCTCTCCCTCACCCACCCCTCTGCCCAAGACCCCTCACCGTGGTCTCCCACCATGAGCCCTAGGGCTCTTCCCATGCAGGTTTTTCCATGTGGTGGTTCTTAAGTCAGTAAACCACATGGAGAAGAGCGCTTCTCGTCTTTTGATTTCATCCATGTAAGATCATGTGGGCTAGGGGGCTAGGGTCCATAGCTAGCCGGAGGGGACCCAAAGAGTCCGTCGAGACACAATCTTACAGAGGAGGACACAGACCAAAGGCAGGCAGGGGCAGAGCGGGACTGGGAACGCTCCCCCCCCCTCCCCCCCCGCAGAGGGGGTGAGACTGGGGTGTGAGAAAATTTGAGAGGCAGGGGCAGCTTCATTAACAGGTGAATGAGAGACAGGATGGGTGATTAGAGGAACTGGAGGAGAGAAATGGGAGCGGGGAGGTGCCAGCATGGGCGAAGACCACGCGGCAGGAGATGGGGCCGGCTCCGCAGGTATGGTCGGCGCTGTGGGAGGGACTGGCCCCGCGGGAACAGGGAGGGGCAGCGAGGTAGCTCGGCACCACAAGGAGGGTGGGCACAGGGCCAGTGCCTGCCGCGGGGGTGGTGGTCCAAGGTAGAGGAGGGGAAGGGAAGGGAGGATCCCAAATGCTGTGTTGCGTGCCAGGGTGGGGAAACTACGTGCCACAGCATTCAAACTGGGAGATCCGGCCATGTAGCCAGCGCCAACTTGTCTAATAGGTGTGCATGGAAGTTTAGGGTAAAGGAATGTAGAAAAAAGGGTTGGGTTAGAGCCCAAGCTAGTATGGCCAGTACTAGTCTGTAACTACTGGCGAAACCGTGGCAGATGGACAGGGAGGCAACACCACATTTGCATTCGATGGAAACTTTGGCGGCACAGGAGATGGGCTTTCAAAAGAACCTACACCCAGTGATGCCCAGGAGATGATGGCCCAGACAAGATGCCTATCTGAGATGACCAGGCCATCAACACCTTCCATCTGAATGCCAGGAAGCTATTCCCAGACAGAGGCTCTGTGCAGCCCGAGCCAGAGAAAGAAACCAACTTGAATATGAAGAACTCAGGAAGAAACAAAGACATTCTGCCGTGGGCAAAATAAACTGTATAAGAACTGCTGCCTTGAAGCAGTCAGTGTGGAGGAGGGGAATTTGGTGCGATAGAGGCCAGATTCACGTCCACCCATATCACCAACTGCGAGTGATATGCTGGCCTATTGATTGGTGGCTGTTGGACTGTATTACTGTAGCAAAATAAATTTTATTTTTTATATTTTTATTAAAATTGGCTACTTTTCATTTTTCATTTATAACATCTGGAAAGGGGCCAGGAGAGGACTGAAGGTGGCAGGAGGCAGATAGCTCTCCTGTGCCTTTTTTAGGTGGTTTCCATCTCTAGACCTGTCCCGAGGAGACAGGAGCACAGGAATGCAAGAACTGGGGTATTACCTCACACTACACCTCTTTAAGAATATTACAATTGTCAGAGTTTCATACTCAGTTTTTAGGTTAAATTCAACTCAGCTGAAGGTCAGACTCTAAACCTCTAAGTGCTTAGAACAAGTGTAGGTAGCTAAAATAGACCCAGATCTTGCCAGATGAAGACTGAGCTCTACCAGCACGGCTGAATAGCTTTACATGCCTCTTCTAATCTGTTAGTTTTTGAGAGAAATGTATCTGGTTTAGAGTGCCAGCAGGAAATCCATGATCCAGAACACATCCCTGATTAATCTCCTGACCATTAAGAAACACAGAGCTGCACTGCTAGGGTAAGGACCTCCATGGCCTCTTCCTTGGGCTCTGCAGGGCCAGTGAATCCAGCTTCCTCTGGGTAACACTCAGCAACCCCCTCATTACCAGCAAGTTTGTCTGGCTTTTGCTGGGTTTTGGCACTGAAGGAACACCTGACTTTGTTACCACACATGATGTCCCCCAAAAATGTGGGAAAAATGCTGTATTTGCTAGATCAGAGCAGCTACTATTCAGGTTTATCAATAAGCACCTATACCACTTAAAATTTGTTTTGTTCCAAACTATGAGGATGCTGTGGATTTGGCAGAATGGAATTCCATCCCTTTCATGTGAGTTCAGCAGCAATGGTGATCCAGCAAAGTGACTTCACTAAAGCAAAACCATTCGGTAGGTCTTTGCTCTTTTCACCAATTCCAACAGGCAAATAGTATCTGCCAGAGAACCCAGTCTCCAGTCTCATTTCTGTGGTTGTTACCAACTTGACCAGGGAGAGCAACACAGATCACAGTCACAACTCTAGGAATGCACCCCCTGTTGACAGAGTGACAAAACTATCCTTTGTCTCCTTAAAAAGGAAAAAAGCCCAGAAGTTTCTTTCCTCAATTAGCGAAAAAGACACCTCATAGGACCTGGGGAACTTCACCTCAAACTTAAGGATAGCCAATTGGATAGAAGCCAAAAAGTCCCACCTGAGCAATTTACTAGAAAAAGAAGAGAACAAAGAAACTAATCTCTTCTGTGAGGTGCTTTACCAGGAGCAAGAACCTCTTTTAGCTCTCGGTAAAGAGATTCATTATTTTGCCTTTTATTAAAACTTTTTGTTTCCAACACTACCACAGAAGCCATCCTGCTGATATTTTATGCCTTCTAAGGTAGCTGAGCTATCTTGGGTGTGAAATAGATCTCCAAGAGCTTATGAGACCGGGCTCGAGGAGACCCCCTGTAGGAGTGTGCCCCCTAATGACAGAGTGGCAAAACTAACCTTTGTCCCCCAAAAAAGGAAAGAAGCCCAGAAGTTCCTCTCAACGATCAGTGAAAAGCCACCTCATAGGACCTTAGGGACTTCACCAAACACTAGAGAACATCTAATTGGATAGAAGCCAAAAAGTCCCGCCTGATCAATCAGGAAGAAAAGAAGACAACAAAAGAGCTAAAGTGCTTTTGTGAAGTGTTTTTACCAGGAGCAGACCTCTGCACCTGGCTCGAGTTTTTCTGTTTGTTATTTTGCCTTTTATTAAACCTTTTTTGTTTCTAACACCCCAGCAGAAGCCATCCATTATTTTATGCCCCCAAAGTAATAGCTGAGCTATCCTTGGATGTATTAAGTTTCTTTTGAGAGCTTATGAGACCTGGCCCAAGAAAAACAAACTTAATAACCCCCTATAATATCACAACTCCTCCTCAAAGATTCAAGAGCAATCTTACTCTAAAAAACAGGGAAAGAGTAATAGCTTAAAACTTTGAAAAGCTGTAAAAAATACGGGTGGTTTGGAGGCTTTTTTCCTACAAAATGCACGTAGAACAAACACAAAATTACATTATACCCTGCAGAATGAGGAATCAAAGAAACAATAGTAATTTTGTTTTTTCTACCTGAATCATGTAGAAAAATGCTTACAACATCAACACTAGTTTTTCTGTTAGAATCCATAACACATCTTTTGCTGGTTTACCAACTGTAAAATAACAGAGAACTCTGCTGCTACTTTTTTCAGCCCTAGTGCTGAAAAGGTGTATCCCCCACCCCAAGGAAATGCCAGAATGTTGTCAGTATCCAAAAAGAGTGGAAACATTTTGGTACATAGATAACATTTTAGAGCTCAGGTAATATTAACTACAAGAGTTTTGTATGGTTTTAGAAAGACTAAGCATGTCTTTTGGCTGCTTTGTGTTTTGGCATGCAGTGAGTGCAGCTTGGTGTGACTAACAGTTGCTAAAAAGGCAGGTGATTCCAGGGATGCAGGGGAGCTCAGGCAGAAAAGGGCCTTTGGTCTTTCCTCCCTACACACTTTCCACCAGCCAGATGGGCAGTGGGGAGATAGCACTGATGAAAACACTGTGACTGCAGCCTCAGGACCTTGCAGCAGCTGTGTGAAACCACTACCTGGGAAATTTTGTTTTACTTTGACAAGCACAGCGTTTGGAGCACATTCAGCAGGAACACAACGAAAAAACATCCTCCCTCCAGTCCAGAGATCCAAACACTCTCCCAGTAATTCGCCTATCATTTGGTTCTGTAGAATTTGTAATTCAGCACCTTGCAGCTCTAAGCAGAGGGTAAAGACAGATCTGTAATTCTCTCCTTCATTATGGGAAAATCATCATCATTACAGATGGATAATGAGATGATTGGCTCTCTCAATTAAGAGATGAATATTGTGTGAATATTAAGAAAAGCTTTAGTGATGTATAGTTATGTTACTGTAGTGTACTTGTCCTCTCTTCTCCCCATGGTTCCCTTTTCCCCCTGTACTGTGACCATCAGACAGCTGGGGTGGTCTAGGACAGGTAAAAAGGTGTGCACATCTGCCCCTTGCAAGGGGCAGTTGGAAATGGAAAAGCTTGTTGCTAAGGGGGTGGGGCATGACAACACCTGACCCTCCAATCAAGTTACAAGAAAGCAGACTCCACCAATAAATGGCAAAAAAGAGTTGACTGACAGACTTTGGGAGGGGCCAGGGTTGGCTGATGCAACCCCCAGGATGAGCATCCATCTTGACAACGAACCGGCCATGTGGTACGCAACTGCACAGGCAGTTCCCAGCACTGCAAGTTTTTCTTTATTTAGTTCTTTTGTTGCATTTTTGTTAAGGTTTAATAAACCTTTTAATTTTTTTTAAGTGAGCAGGTGTCTCTTACAATCATCCTCACTGGGCAGTGTTTCCATAAACCTTTATTGCTAGCAAATGTCACTATATATGCCCAGATTCCAGTGATGCACCTTACCCAAAGCTCTTTGCAAAATGCCTGCTGTGGATTAAGTGCCATTCCCCTGCCAGCCCACCCTTCTTCCCCTGCCAGCCCACACCTCCCTTCACAGCAGCACAGCTGTCAGAACCACAACTGACCCCTAAACCAGCTCTAAGTGTAGGATACAAATATTATTTTTCTTCCTTACCTGACACAGGGTATCTTTGATGTATGTTCCACACAGTTTATGCCCCTGGGGATCCATGTAATTCATGATGTCCCAGTATTTTGCTGCAATGCTGTTCTCTCTCTCCTGGTTACAGCAGCCAAAGTTTTCATAGGTAGAGCAGAACTCCAAGGGCAAAGGGGGCAAGGGAAAGGCGGCCCATAATCCAGACACTGAGGATGTCCCAGCAGAGTTCCCGTCAGGCAAAACAAGAAGAGGCAAATACACACATGTGGGCAAGGAAAAGAAATGCCAGAGCTGCTGCCACACGTTCTTGCCTGTGGCCAAGCATTCACTTCCTTCAGTGAAGGTTTCTTGAGGTCAGATGTATAGAAATCCTGGACTTCTTCATAGCATGGTTCATTCATCTTCTCTGTTTTACTAATCACCAGCCCCAGAGCGCAGCATTCCCTGAGGTTGGCTTAAATTCCCTCTTCCTTTCTCTCTGAAGTGTACTGCTCAGCAGCAGAGACATACACTCCAGGCTGCCTTTGATATGTCACACGTCACAGGGCTTAACTCTCCTCTCTGGACATTTCTCCTGCCCCTAGAAGCACTCACAAATCTAATCCCTATATTTTAGGTTAAATTGGCTGAGAAATCCTTCACCAAGAAATATGAATAATAAAAACATGAGATGTGATACCTATACACTGAACTTGGTAATCTTTACAAAACACAAGTGAACAATTTTCAGTTCCTAACTACCATTTTTCTCAGCTTTTGCAATGCACCAAACTGGGGCCTGGTTTCATAAAGACTGAACAGGGGTCATAAAATACGATCAATTAACCATAGGAACAAGTGACTTCATAGATATTGCTGTTACCCACAAATCCAGGTATACGTTCAGAGTTAAAATAAGAAGAAATTCAGAAGGAGTGAAGGAGGAAAAATTCATTTAAGACACCAGCACAACCTCAAGTTGACTGATATTCTGTGGTAATCCTCTACTTTGGCCAATTAATTTTTGTGGGTTTGATCCTGCTTGGCATTAAACTGTTTTAAAATGCATGAAACTTTTGCACACTTTCCCCTCTGGTGAATAATGCTTGAGCAAGCCCTTCCCATCAGCTAGGGATGCAGGTGTTTGTACACATTGTACCCAGCCTGTGCTGGAGGATGACACTTCCCTAGATTTGCTCTTCCATAAGCAGGACAAGATAATTTTGATCACAGCCATGTGGAAAGGGAATTCTATCTTTCATGCATCATTTAAAAAAAAAAAAATCCTCACAGAAGATTTGCCCACAGGAAGGGGAGGAAAATTGATAGGAAAACCAAATCTAGAGCACAGAATTCACAGCCAGAGACCATTCCAATCACATTCAAAGTACAACACAGGCTTGAAAACACAGTACACACAGAGATTTCTCTCTGGATTTGTGATCTGCTGGTTTGTCTCAGGTCCAAGTACTGTGGTGTCAGTTTCTTCCAGGACATGGAAGAGCAATGCTTGGCACAGTCACACAAAAGCTGTGACTCAGCTCTTGTACTTGCTGACTGCAGCATTATAGTTCTAGCACCTGGAGAGGACACTATCCCCCACAGCAATCCTGCTTCCAGAGGTCACAGGAGAAAGCTGGGAGCACCACAACGGATTAGCAGATTTTTCAGACATCAAGCTCCTCTTTATCCTCTCACTCTCCTTATCTCCGCCCCAATCTCTGATGCTTTGTTTCACATTTCTTCCTCAACAGAGTCTCATCTGCTGTAAGGCACACACATCTCCCATAGGAAGCTGAGGGAACAAAAGGAAATTACATGGGAGTTCTCACCAAGCACCAGGGCTTCCAGCATTCAGTTTTTATACTTGGGTTTATACTTAGGTTAAAAGCTCCTATGCATAGCCACAAAGGAACACAGGAAGATAATGGAAGGGGGAAGCCCAAGTAAGACCCTGCTGGGATGCTCTCAGGGACATCACAGGAGAGTCATCAGACCATCAAAGTCCATCTTTGCAAATCCAGGGGAGCATAGGGGCACAACAGCAGGCAAGAAGCCCAATTAAAGACTCCAGGGAAGGGACACCATGTGTCTGGGAGGGAAGAGACACCTGGTTGCCTGCCAGGGCTGTCCCAGAACAGGTTTAGGCCCATGTTCAGGCATGCACTCCAGTGAGATGGACATTGGGAGCAAGTCTGGATCATCTCTTTCACCTAAGAAGGGGTTCCTTCCCAGGGCTGGGGTACACCTTATGGGATGCTGGAGAAGAACATTTTGAAACTTCACAAATAGTCCAAATCCAGTTGAAAATCTCCATCACAACTCACCTGTTACCAGATATCGCATATGAGCTTGCTACCAAGCCAACTTGACAGGGTGTTCTCACAGTCAGATCTCTTATGAAGCTGCACATGGTGGCCTCTGAAGTGATCGGGACTCAGCCATAGCCTGGCAGAGAGCAAAGGAGACACACGGCAAAAAGCTGGTACAGTGTTCAGAGATGGATTATCAAGCATAATAGCCGGAATTATTAGGCATAAAATCCTGGAATAATACAGCCTGAGAACTGGGAACGGCATAAAAGCTAGAATGGTGTAAAAACTGGACTTTTGATGAATATCCAGGACTCACTGGCCAGACAGTGGTAAAAAAAAAACCCTCAGCAGACAGCAGAAAGTGCTGCGAGGGTTTAAAAACCTGTTTTGTGGACTAAAATCACAACTGAGACCATGGGATCTTGGATATCAGGACCAGCAAACTCCATGATGAAGGTACTGATTTTCTTCTTTCAGAAAAAGAGGGATTGTTTCTACGGGGAGTGGGGAACCTCGGCGATGCTGGCATTATCCAGGGAGCCAGTGGGATGAATTGTGAAATCCAACCACGTGGAAAGATGGCAGCCACCACAGCCCCGGCTTCTCCGAGATGCCCTGAGTCCTCCCCAGACTGCAGTAATCACTATGCAGTCGCTTCAGGCTACCATGCCGCCCTGTTCGGGGAGAACAGACCACGTGGTGAGCGCTTCTCTCCCCCAGGGGGTGGCTGTGCCATGCGGCCACTCCAACCCCTCCTGGGACAGGGAGAAACCCCGCGGCCATTAGTCCGTGCAGTGCTCCATGGAGCCAGCCACGCAGCACCCACCATCCAGCCGACGTCACAGGAAGGGCCCCACCCCTGATACAGTCTCCGTGGAACACAGCCAGGTCTCAGTGGAGCCTGGCCTCACCTCCAGAGGGAGTGGGGCTGCCCCTGCTCCAGCCTCTGTGGAATACAGCCACACCTCTGGAGGGAGCAGCCCCCCCACCCCACTGAGCCTGCCTCCAAAGAAGGCTGCAGAACTCAGAAGCAAGTGTGGGAGAAACCTTTGCAAAGGTGCTGCTCAGAAAAAGGCAGTTGTTAGAAATGAAAATTGCGAGTGAGCCCCTAACAATTCCCTCCCCTTTTTTTATAAAATCATTAATTCATGGGACCTCTAAGAATAAACTACTTGTTTTATTTTTAGCTACTCCCTTGGCTCCCAGTCCTCTAGTAGGACTTTCTGGTACTCTTATACATTTGGGCTAATTTGCTCCTCAAATTGATTTAGTACTTCTGCTGCCCTTTTGCAGGAGGGGTCCTCCTCCAGCTTCAGGATTTTTGGGATCAATTGGCCTTTCATGGCCAATTCAGGATCCATGGGCATTGTGGCTACCTGCATTCCTTGTACCACTGAGTGTATTAATCTGATGAAGCAGGGAATCAGGCATGGCAGAAAGATGACTCCTGCTACCAAACACAAAATGAAAAATATTAGCTTTTTCCACCAGGCCCCGTCAAATAGATTATCCCACCAGGATGTGTTCAAAATTGAATTCCACTTTTGTATGGGGACGTGGGCTACCCTCTTTATTTCTGTGGCCAGATCCCGGATGGCCTCCCCATAATCATCAATTTCAATGCCACATTCAGACTCATTAAACTTCCCGCATACACCCCCTTCTTCAGCCAAAAGATAGTCCAATGCTATCCTGTTTTGGTATACGAAGGCTCTCATTTGAGAGTACTGCCGGGATAGCAATTCTAGGGCGTCTGAGGTGTGATTTGACACTATCTCCACTACTGCCTGGAGTCTGATTAGGCAATTCAGTAGATAGACAGGGGTCCGATACCCCCAGCTACTGTCTTGGGCCCATGTTGCTGGACCGTAGTATTCAATTATTCTCTTAGCAGGCCATTCCTCTTCCGCCCATTTCTGTTTACCCTCGAAAATGGGGAATTTCTCTTTTATCCCCCTTTTATGCCTGTTCAGAGTCTCATACAGAGGAGCACCTAGGGAGCTGCTCTCTGACCAAGGTAAGGTAAAGAAAGCGGGCCTAATTATTCCCAGGGTGCAAGACCCTCTCCAATTCTTAGGCAGTTCACTGTAGGCTTTTCTCCCACAGATCAAATAGATTCCATTAGGTGCTTTCCACGTATTTATCTCACCCGGTCTGTCCCAGAACTCCCTTGCCCCTTCTAGAGATTGGAAGGGATTGGCCCCAGATTTCTTATTCCAGCACAACTTTAGCCTTTCGCTCCATTCACAAGGATTAAGTCTTTCACGACTCCAATAGCCTGAGGGGGTTTCAGGTTGCCACTTGGGGCTTTGGCCCTCTTCCAGGGTTAAGGTAGTTAGACATGGAGTGTAACCAACTGTTTCAGTGTACCTCTTCCCATCTCTGCTTATGCAAATTGTTCCAATTACCCATTTCTCCAGCAACCATCCCTCAGGTCTTTGCAGAATTTTGGAATTTTTGGTGTTGTTCCAGCTTAGCAGTTGTTCTGGGGTCAATCCCTCTCCTTTCCAAGGCCATTTTTCTGCGGACCTCAATCCCCCACATATACAGCAATTTTACAGCCCTAATTCAGTGGCAGTTTCTTGCATTAGGTCAATGAACAGGTTTTTGTCTGAAACGGGCAGACCAAGCTCATTGTACTGTTTCTCCAGCTGGTCATACTGCTCGCTTAAAGTCCTTAATCTCTCCTGTTCGACCCTTCATTTTCTCAGCTCCGATTCCTGCCTTTTTAATTCTTGGGCGACCTGCTGAATTTTGCTCTCAGGGTCTACCCCTTCATGGTTCCAGGAAAAACAAAATATCTTATCATATTGGAGGCAGGTTCTATCATCATTGTTTTCCAGTAAGCCGATAATCACTGGACCCCCTCCCAGGGAGGTCTTGCTTTCATATTTCTGATTCCTCCCAACCCAGTACGTTTTTCCCCCCATTGTAACATCCCTAATTGTGAGTTTTCATAGTACATCTGGTATACCTGGTAATAACCCAAAAAGATCGATTCCGTTCTCCCCCCTGTCCATACAGTGCGATTACACTTATCGCATATTGGGATTTTGATAGGTCCCGCACCCCGCTTGTGTCTTACGTGTGTTAACTGACCCACCCTT